TAGAAAGACGGATTGATGTTTCTGCTGAAGCGGGGTCGGGTTTAAATTATCCTTGAGAGGAGTTCACGCATATGCACAAGAAAATACGCGAACTGCACGGAAAATGACCGACTTGGTGATAAGCAAAAAGTAAAAGAGGCCAAGACGTTTAGATTCAGTAGAAGGTTCAGCAGATTGGAATGAACGTCCCTCGGGGCGACCGGGGTGAGATGAGAACTTTGATTGTAGTTGCAGGTAAAGGACCGATTTGGCGGTAGGGTGCAGTCAAATTGGGCGGTGACCAGTCGCGGGTATGCTATAAAATTGGCTATGAAAGTACCGTGCCGCCATTACACCGAGATACTTCAGTCCCTGGGCAGCCTTCTGAGGATGTCGTGATTTAGGTAGTTGAGCTGGGATGTATAGTTCTATGAGGGGCGATATATTGTGGGTTATCCAGGGATTCCGCAAGGAGAGCGAAATCAATCTAGTATCGCAGGGAGTATTTATTTTTATCCGGCGTAATGGACAGATCAACTGCAGTGGTGAACGGCCCAACAGGACTTCCATAGCACGTGCTACTTGAGACGAAAGTGAAATGGGATGAGAATAATAAGGCCTGAAGTGATGAAGTAGGGACTGAGTGGGAATCATCAGACAGGATATAGTGATTGTGACCATGGAGGAATATTTCAGGGTTCCCAGCTAGCACCACGAAACCCATGGTTTTAGGAGTGATACTCCTGATTCAAACTAGAGTTCTAAATAAATTCTGCAAGCACGTTCTTAGATCGGTCGTCCCTTGGCTGGAATTACCCAGGATGTCTCTGTGATACATACGGACTCCTGCGACGATATGAGTTGCATTCAGAAGGTTCATTGAAGAGGCTGTGCTTTATAACCGGGTTCAACGGCTTCTTCCCAGGCGTAAAAGGAGGACCGGTTGTCTCTTCGTGCGTGTGTTACACGGTTTTTTTTATGGAAGCAAAAGTCTGAGATGAGCCGTTCTTTGTTTTGTGGTATGAGGCGTGTTTGATTACAAAAAAGGGGACTCCATCGAGTGAGATTGGAAGTACTTCCAGTAGGCGGCGATCCGTTGAGTGAGGTTCCGGGGGGCCGCCGAGTTTATGTATAACCTTCATCCGACGGAGCATGCGTTTATGGTAGGTAGGCTGTTGTGCTGAGTGCCATGATTTGTCTGCGGGGTTTATTTGCCCCCATGATCGAATTTATGGGTCGTTCAGCGACAGCTGCTCTGTGTTTTGATGGATTATCTCATGTTCCTGTAGTGTTAAGTGTATCAAAGTTGCTCAAAATGCTTCACGGTCGGTTACCAGTATTGCTGCTCTGGTGTAAGTTTTATTTACTGCGTCGGCGCAAAAGATTACGCAATAAGTATTTGCTGCTCGAGTGAAAAGTGGTCGAAAAACCTACCGACGGACATGAAAAACCAGTTTGCGCAGTTTGCGCAAGGCGGAGTGATGACCTGCAACCAACCAACTTACTCTGCCTGCTTTTTAAGTAGCACTGACATTTGGTTATTTATCATTGGCATTAGAATGATATCTGCCAGAAAATGGTGGTTTTCTCCAAGTACCCGTTACTATAAAAATGTCCACGCACTTGGTTTTGGTTTTAAACATTTTATAGGGCGTAGGCTTTCGAATAAAAACCCAGAGACACCAAACCCCTACACAAGCAGTTTTCTCATCCCGAACTGCAACTTCTGATAAATATCATGCTTGCACCAATGAATATGCAATGATAACCGATGGGCACATTCGAAGTAGGAATACTCGCAAAAAAGATTCAACCAGTCGCAATATAATACGGAGTATTTTCGGTTATCATGAGGTCTCGTGGATGTACTGCTTTATTCTTGATTGTTTCGCTGAGCGTCTGGTCCCCTCACTACGCCCTTCAACTAATGTTTGGTGTCCAAAAGCCCGCGCAAGTTACCGTGTTATCTGTTGGATTCAACGTGCTACTCAGATTTAACAATCGACGCAAACGGACAAACCAGCTGATTCCTGAAAATCAAGACAGTACACGCACCAAAATAATGGGCTAACATATAGGGGGAAGTACGACGAAAATAAGGAGTTTTAGGAATATTTGTTCCGGTTGACGTATAGGCACCGGAGTACACACGAGACAGCCCTTCTGTCTAAAATATGCAAATGGGGATCAAACAACTTGTCGTGTAGCTACTATCTTCGGCTCCCAATAAGAGTATTTGAATTCTGGTTTTACGCGTGCCAGCGTTTAGTGTAGCCCGGAAAAGGGTTGCGTGACCATTAGGCGTGTTGCACTGCCCCGGTGAATGCATTCGCACAGACCAGCTAAAAGCACTTTTCTGAGCCGCGGATCTGCGCGCGGTTTGTGGCATGAGTAAAAATATAGTACTGGACCTGTGGCTTAGCACTCCTTCGGTGGACATTAGAAGCGTTCCTCACCATAATAGTGGGCAATCAAAGTAAATAAAACATACGCATTAGATTTTGCATGCAATCCAGCGTTGAATGGGTGATTTAAGTGAAAAATTACTTTCTACAGTGTCCTCACAGCATCAAAGTTTAAAATCTTCCTCCGAAAAATCTACCAAGCTGGGTGTCCCATTTTGTGTTCATGATGCGCTGCTGGTACCTAATAAGTGGCTGAGGATCGGGCTGGACTTCGGTGCAAAACATACGTATGTCCAGAACGCGCTAAGCATCAAGAACAAAGACCAACCCTCAACATTCCGAAAAGCACAACGCAGCCCTCGTTTGGGATGTACTACCGCTCCACATCTGAGTGGCGTCTCCCTACCGTGAATGCGTAATGGCCCTAGGAATCACCAACTGACCTTTCATTAGAACGCGGAAACACTATTCGGGTGCACATTCTCTAGTATTACAATGCATTGGGCTTACGATCATACTGACTGAGGGTGTTGCTGGGCGCTCTGCCAAATCCCAATCCGACTGAAGTTCATTGTGCTTCGGTAGATAGTTGGAATGAGGGATGTCGTGAAACAACCCTTGTATGATACTCAATTATTTATGGTTACAACCAAACATCATCAATTGCGGGCCGTGTAACACAAAACAGGACGGTGCAGCCAAGTTTCTACGTCGATTTTCTTTCCTCAAGGCTCCGTCCGGGGACCACTCCTGTTTCCGATATACGTCAACGATCTCTCAGACGTTCTTGCGTGTCCATGTCTACTTTTTGCGGACGACTCGAAATCCTGGAGTTCCAATGCCAGTGCCCTCCAAATGGATGTAGACGCTGCCAAGCAGTGGTTGTTGGACTGGCACCTTCCTCTGAATGACGAAAAGTGCGACCATATGTCGTTTGGAGGAGACTCAGAGAACGCCTTTGTTGTGAATGGTGAGAAAGGACCAGGAAACACCATGAGGATAGATGCCAAGAAGGATTTGGGGATCTGGGTCTACTCAAACTTGTCCTTCTCGCTGCATCATGAAAAATCGGCCCAAAAGACGTTCGCCACTTTACGGATGATCCGACAAACCTTCTCCCGTATTACTCACATGGACCTACAAATACTCTATGGGGCCTACGTCGGACCGCTTCTGGAGTACGCAAACCAGGTTGTCTACTCAGGACGCACGAAAGACGCCACCCTCATTGAGCGTGTCCAACGGGCCGCTACGAGAATGGTTGCCGGCCTCAAATCCGTGAACTACGAAACGCGTCTCGTGATGCTTGATCTCTTACCCCTGGAGTACCGTCACCTCCGAGGTTACCTAATTCTTACTTATGCCCTGTTTGAACAAAGCTTGGCAAACAGGTTTTTCACCTTTGACCCAGCAAACACACGGCAGGGACATAGTGAGAAGGTTTTCAAGCTCAGAGCACACACATTCATTGGACAAAATTTTTTCTCATTTTGGGTAGTGGGTGCGTCGAATGACCTTCTTCCGACGGTTGTTCACGCTCCTTCTAGAACCCAGTTTAAAGCACTGTTAGACATTTATTTATGCGAATCCTCGCGCTGGCGAGCATACTGCCCCGCGCTGAGAACACAAAGGGAGGTGCTACGCCCTTTTTTCACTTGTGTCTTTCAGGTGAATGACAGCCACTGACCGACAAGAACAAAACCGATCCGGGAAACTTGGGAAGTAGCCTTGATCCTGTGTATCAATCCGTTATTCCGTGAAAAGGCGGTGCATTCAACATCGGGAGACTGGAGGCCAATCCATCTTACGTTTCATTTTTTTCGTTTTGTCACATATGTCATCAGTCTTTTGTTTTCCCATAAAAGCCCTGTATGCTTATTTTCCGACACTAATCTAAATTGCCGTTCATTCATGTCACGGAAAACTTGGCACCCTCATTTGCGGGATTCAATCCCCTGGAGGGAATTGAAACTATGTGCGTGTAACACGACTGCCATTCTGATTGGCTAATCTCCAGTGTGCTGTGACCACTTAACAAATTGCCGTGGTCGGAATTGTAAACAATAGATGGTTGTTTCTGATATTTTCTGTTTAACGAAATATCGGGACTATTTAAGAAGTTACATGGTTGAGAGGCGACGGAGTGGAAAAGTTAGCTACGAAGATAGAGACCGAAGCAGAAATAGCGACGAAATCGTTCGCTTTGTTCGCACTTTCGGGCGACACGGGCGGAGTCGTCAGAGAGTGCCATTTTTCAGATGAGAAGTTGATGTCTACTTCACTTTGTCAATGGAAAAATGGAGAAAGTACATGCGAATTCTCGAGAACAATATTATCCTAGGTTTTTGCTCGTGTGCTTATTAGCGTTGACCAATTTTCCCACTCTGTTGAGCGAAATGTTTATATGCTGCTCTTAAGTGTCATTCAGTTTGTGTAAACCGAGCGGATACGGTGATGGGCCATTTTCGACTCCAAGACCATTTCACCAATAAAATTGCCATATCCACTGCACCCGTCTTTCCTTTCAGGTGAATCGGACTGGCGCTTGGAGCAGACTGGGCAGTCGCCTTGTTCCTGCGTGTCAGCCCGTGAGGTCGGACGGCTGGTTTCGATGAAATGGAAGACACAAAAATTATATATCACATAGACGATGAGGAAACTCCATATTTGGTGAAAATACCGGTTGTGCCGAATGCAGTAACGCTTGGAGATTTTAAAAATGCTCTTAATCGGCCCAACTACAAGTTTTTCTTTAAGTCACTTGACGCCGATTTTGGGTTTGTTCACTTTGACTTTATGCATAATACTCGCAGAGTGGTTAAAGAGGAAATAACCGAGGATGATGCTCGTCTTCCATGCTTCAACGGGAAAGTTATTTCCTGGGTATGTTTCTCGCTATATGTTTGTGAACTCTCAGTTGGTATCCGCGGACAGTAGCACAAAGTCGGATAATCATTCTACAGGTGAGGGAATATCAGTACCACACCTATCTGGACAAAACAAGGGGATAAATGGGTGAGTAATTAGTCAGGCCATCACTTGCTCACGTTTTCCCATCTGTCGTTTGGTCTCTAGCGCACTCAGATGGCATGGCTTTATTATGGCTTCCCAGGTAACGGGTCCTATTGCGGCCAAACCGGGTGTATGCAGTAACTTGCCCTCCGGCCCTGCTAATTCCTCAACCATTTGGTAACACCTGGCAGGATTCTTTCTCGTGTATCCTGTCTCGGGAACTGGTGGGTTAGTGCTCTGTGCAACAGTACCTGAGTATGCAATTGTTTTATTTGCGTAGAGCACCGTCAACATGATCATGACATACCGCCTCAGCTTTCAGTCCTAACTTCCCATTTTAGGGCTTCCCAAAAAATTTGTGATGAGGGCACTCGGGTCGTACACAGGTAATCGTCTCAGTGAATTGTGACTACGCACTAAACCAAGACGAATGCATGGGATTGATCTTGCCCAATATTACCGTCTGTGGTTTGGAGCTAGACTGCTATTAAGTTAAGCCTCAGAAGGAATGGTTCGACTTCATCGGCAAATTAGTGCCTTGGTTGGGCAGCTAATCGCCTATGAGGAATGGTGTTGTTCCCCGGTCCGCATATCGCACACGAGATGAGTAAAACGGACGATACCGTCGCTGCCGGTGCCCATCGGTATCTTTGCAAGGCATATCTTCTAGAAAGTTCTTAATCGGCATGAGACGATCCCCATCTTTTTCCGAAATGTGCTTCCAGTGTGCGATTCTGGCACGTCATCTCGAAACATTTGTAACGCATCCCCAGGAATTTCTAGGGAATGTGCCCCGGGCGTCGGGAATAAAAGATCTGGACCATGGGAGAGTGTGATTCTGGATTTAACGGTGGCTAAATAGGATCAAGGCACCAAGTTGTGTGTCGGATTGAGCCCTGCTACCATAAAATGCCCATTGTTGCCCATGAGCCGGTCGTATAGACAGTATAAGATACCCATGGACAGTCCGACTCAACACGACAGGGTAACTCACAAGTTGCCAACCAAGACAAGCCTTTTTGTTCTGGGCACCGCCAAACGCTATCCAGAGCTTTGTTGTCGTTTACGCCTACTTCTTATAGCCAATTCATTGATTCATCCGGCAACGTCTGTGAAGGAGTCTCAAAGGTGAGAAGTTGATCGGCATCTGTTTCCACCTCAACCGAATGTACCTCTAACACCATCAAAGATAGGTTTTATTACGTTTTGAACGCCCTGTTAAGCCGGACAGGCTGGACACATATGAGCCTCAATTAGGCGGTTGACATGGATTCGGAAGTTGGGACAACGGCGAACGACTCCTTCAGCTGTGTGCTATCGTTAAGCTGTTTTCATATGGTACTACTAAAGTAATCCAAGTCATCTGCCCAGTTGGCTTCATCCAAAGATGCACTAACCACGGACCCAAAGTTTTCATATAGTCGTCACTTACCGATGGGTGATTTCGAATTCAGACGAATGTATCAGAATCGTCTTGGTTGTCTTCCAACCACAACGGCGGATACGAATTCGTGCTGGAACGAGATCGTCACATCCTTGCACAGTGATGGGAATTCCGCCTGTGGAAAAGGTACTGCCAGGTCCACTCAAGCCCCGAATATCAGACAAAACATTGGCGCTATTTGAATCTCGGGTAAATGTTCCGCTTGTCCCGAGCATAATTTAACCAGACAAATTTTTAGAATTCAAGTCAAACTTAGCGTTGACCATTAAGTCAGCTGGATATGAAAAGCTAAGCAAATGGAAGATTCGGAGAATGTCGAGGGTACCCGAAGGTTATTTTTATTGATCCATCTGACCGGCTTCTTGAAGCTACCTGCGAGCGAGACGATCAAGGACCAAAGTGACGCAACCATGTCCAGTAAAGAACACCTCTACTATTGGGCCGGGCACTTGGAACAGCGTTTCTCGTGGCAGTCTGCTTCCATTCATTTGGATCTTAGGACTGAAGTAGGACCCTTGATGGTAGACCTGGATGGTGACTTACGACCTTGAGGATTTATGACTGCATATGTTGTCTCAAGCGCCATCGAGCTCCTGATCCGGATGATCTCCCACCCGCATTGTTCACGGATGAGGCAGAGCATTCAGTCGGCTTTTGTCTGATCTGTGTGCCTGCATTTGGGATGAATCGATAATAGTGCTCACTTTCAGATAAAAGAGGTCGCAGTGAATGCAGTAATCACAGAGGTATCAGCTTGCATTCAGTCGTAACGGTGTTACTTGTCCTTCATCGTCTTATAGTGGCCTGTGAAGCATTGAGTCAAGAGCGGGAAGTGGGATTCCTCGTTTGTAGAGGTTGCATTGACCGAATCTTCACACTCCGTCAGCCGCTACAAGAACGCCATTCATATGAACGGCCCACAACCTAAGATTCCTGAACCTCAAAGGCCTCTTGGATCCAGCTAGACCATTCGCCCTAACACTCTCAGCAAGAAATGTTCTCAGTCTTCCCGAACTGCGAGGCTATACGAAGAGCTCTCCAAAAGCTTCCGTATGCAGTTTTGTCTGTCAATGTTATCGTTCCGTGATCGGTGAGATAATGAGACGAGCGTTGGAAAGTCTTGAGACCATGTTTATTTAGCTACTTACAGAAGCCTTGTTGATCTGGATTTTAAAAACTGACGCGCACCGTTGCTTTGTCCAATACACATGGTCACGCTTCGGAGTGAAAACTGCGTCATCATTATTTCAGCGGATTATGGACATGATGTCTGATGTGAACGGGGTCGCTGCATATCTTGACGAAATCGTCATCGCTGTCAATAGTATCATCAGTGTTCAGCACTGATTTTTTGCTGCATTACAACCATAGTTTAGTGAATAAAAGAATAAAATTGGATAGGGAATGGACTCAGCGCTAGTCTACGACAACCATTCCAAGGTACACATACCTCCAGATAGTCTGTACAGAAACTGACAGAGGACACCGTTGACATTGATTAACAACCCTATCCCGCACCATCTCCAATGATGCACAGGGGTAATCACCAACCCTGGAGGGCGAATGACACCTACAATACTCAAACGTTTTGTAATCGCTTTCATGCTCCTCTGCCAGGCTGTCAACCTCTCTGCATCCACTGCTTTGAATTGTGCACAGAAAACTGCACCCTTTCCCGGGCAATACGTGGCCTAACCAACGCAACTTCTGGTTGTGGACACATGCTTCGACTGAAGTTTCCGTTGCACAACTGAACACTCGTTTTCTGACTGCCCCACTGCGGATCCGCCGACAGCAGCCTGCACGATCTATGGTTCTGAGACAAGGGTTGTAGAAGATCGAAAGACATCTCAGTTTTACTCTCAGGGGTTACGTGTCAGCCATACAACAAAACAGCCCGTACTCTAGCTATCAGCATGCACATCGAATGGTAGCTACTGATGCCCCCCCGAGGTTTCTCAGTGTCATCGGGCGATAACGTATGCGACTACTTGAAATTGGTGACAGTTTCTTGTCTTGTCAAAATATCTGATTTCACGTTATCTGTAAGTGATGGACATAGTTTGGTTAGTCATTGTGCACTCAAATAGCTGCAGTTCAAGGTCAGCAACCGGCTGTGGTGCATGCCTGGGAATAGATGCGACCAGAAACATATTTTGGGGTTCATCTTAAAGTATCCTCCATGGGATTTTTGTTGAAGGGTTTTCTGCACCCTAAATGACATTGTCAGTACTTGTATTCTTTAAGACACTTCTGTTTGCGCTCACAAGCATGGGTAAACTGTTGCTCGAGTTAGCTCAGTGTTTAGAGCGTCAAATTACTGACCCAAATGTCCGTAGTTCGAGCCCAGCCTTTGTATTTCGACCGCTCCTGTCTAGACTTCCGCAAATTGGTAGTACTCCAGCCTTCGTGTCTCCGGGTGGTATGGCAGCTGAGCACCGGAAGAGTATTACATATGAATGATATATATATATATATATATATGTTGGAAGATGTCTGAGGCTCGTAACCACTGAACACTCTTTGGAGAGGTTTCATGTCCCCATTTGATTTTCGGGCCGTGCCATTTTCAGTCGGTGATTGGTTCGCAAATGTGTGTATACGCACGAATAACGTAAAAAGACTGTTTTATTTATCTTTATTCTTAACTATTCCATACGTGAAGCACCGGGAAGACTACTGAAACCTCTGGTCCAGCCGTTAGCAAGTCAATGGAGCCGCCTAGTGAGCAAGAACATGCGGTTGGTACGACCGGTCATAGTTTGGAGGACTGTGATACGTGTGCAGAAACTGATTCTGTATATAGTGGTGGTAGGTTATGTGTTATTTTATATTCGCTGTCTTTTGTTGCCTTTACTCAACGTGGCTACTTTGGGTTCGACATCTGAACTGACCACAAGGTGATATTGGTGGAAGATTAACTTCGTGTCGGGTCAGTTTATCGTCTTTTCACATTCGTTTAACTGAAATCTGAAATTTAGTTTGCTTCAGTGGTTTTAAGGATTGAAATTGTTCTCTGATCCAATATATGCACCCAACCTATCGAATGGGCCGTAGCAATAAATCGCATCACTTCCTTGTTGACACGGGTACGTGTGGTAACTGGCTTCGTGGAATGCTGCTAACTGAGGTGGTAGCCGGTCCTGATGAATCCCCATTAGGACAAGTGCCCCATGGACTGATTTCCAGAAATGATTGGATTTCTCAATCAGCAGTTTTGACTACGTGTCTTTTAGGCTTAGTGCTCATTATATCTTCCATGATGATCGTGAAAGATAATGGATAAACTCTCAACTGTTCTT